TGGGATTAAACCCAAATAGTTTTGGTTCGTAATAGCAGCAAAAATTCACTAATATTCTTAATTCACATATAATATAAAATGTATAATAATATTTATATCACTAAATATCATCGAAAGTCATTTGAAAGTCATCGAAATGTCACTACAAAACCGTAGGAATTTCATTGAGCAGCTCGACAGAGCAAATATATATGAGGTCGGAGTTCAGAAGCAAATCGTATGAGGGGGACATTGTTAGCTTTGTAACAAACTTTGGGGGGTTTGAATAATTATGGATACTTGAGTGGTGTTTTGGAAATTTGACCATACTTCAGGATTTTTTTCGTAAATTTAATTTTGTTCAACTTATATAATAGAAATTAGGGGTCAGCTAAAATAATACCAATTTTTTTTTCACTTCCATACCTCCAAGTTCAATATCTCCTCTGTCCCATATTATATGTCTTTTTAGAGACTTTTTTTTATCCCAAATTATTTGTCATTTTAGATTTTCAATGAAGTATCAATTGCATTATTTTCAACTTTACCCTTAATCACTCCTAATTAATTAGTTGAAAATCAATTAATGTCGAGGATATTTTAGTAATTTTATAAGTTTTTTTTTTACTATAATCTATGCACATTTATTAATTTTCTTAATATGTGCAAAATAACAAAAAACGACATTTAAATTGAGACGGAGGGAGTACCATATTTTATAGATGTTTTACAATTTTTTCTTAGATTAATACCACAAATAATTTTTTTATTAGCAAAGTACTAAAATATCCCTCATCAAACAAAATACAATTTATTCAAACAAATATTCTTTTCCCCATTTCAATACCAAAGATTGAAAAAAAAAAAACTCTCTTCTTCTCCCCAAACCCAAACCCATTAAACCCTCTCTTCGTCTTCATCTTCTTACAAAACCCTCAAAAAAATCTTAAAATTCAAAACAATCAAAACCTCACAAAGCATATAAAATAGAGTCACAAGACAACAAAATGGTAATTTACATAGAAGAAAAATCCATTAAAGTATGTATCCATGTCTTTTTGAGCTTGAAAGTCGATTTTTGAATTTTTTTTAACCCTTCGACAGTTTTCGACACATAGAAGTTGATTTTTTTGTCAATTTTCGACACCAACTTGTCAAACAATATTAAAAAAAAAAAGTGAATTTCGATGCATACATGTCGTAATTTCTCAAAATTTCGCCATGTATGTGTTGAAAAATCACTACTGCAATTTATATATATATATATATATATATATATATATATATGTGTGTGTGTGTGTGTGTGTGTGTGTGTGTGTGTGTGTGTGTCGAAATTCACTCTTTTTTTTTTTATATTTTCGACAAGTTGGTGTCGAAAAATTGACAAAAATTCGATCTGTATGTGTCGAAAAACTATCGACGAGGTTAAAAAACAAAGAACTTCAAAATCGACTTCCAAGCTTAAAAAAAGATATGAATTCATACCTTAATGGGTTCTCCTTGGTCGTAACTACCATTTTGGTGTCATTTGACTCCATTTTGCGAGTTGTGTGAGCTTTTGATTTCATTAATTTTGAGATTTTTTAGGAGGGTTTGTTGTGAGGAAGAAAGTGGAGGTTGAGGGGTTTGTGAAGAAGTTGAGGGGTTTTGTGTGTCTGGTATTTAAGAAAGAAAAATGAGATTTTTAATGTTATTATGGTATTGATTTTTATTAAAAGTATTTATGTCGTTATCTATTTATTATCTAATTTTTATTTTGGTGCTAATGAAGTGAAAAAATATTGGATATTAATTTTAGCTGCCCCCTAGAAATTATAAATTTTCTGTTCAGAAATTTGGGCAATCGGTAGTTAAAGGGGCGTTTAGTAATTATGAATATATTAGAGGTTTTTTGGTACTCAAACTTTAATTTAGGGAATTTTTGGTAATTTACTCTAAAAATGCCTTTATCTTCTTTCATAAACTCCGATTTCTCCAAAAAAAAAAAAAAAAAAAAAAAAAAAAGAGGCTTATCAAAATGAGTATAATATTCAGTATCGGAAGGAAAGTAAATAAAAAGTTGTTAGTCACTTACCTTTTGAGAGTTGGGGATGGTTGAGCCTCAAGCTATAGAATCTCTGGCAAATTGGTTTGAGAGATATATAATTCTGCAGTATATAATATTACTGAATTGGTATTGGCAAATTAATTTAAGAAGAATAAGTTACCTGATATTCTGGATGTAATTGAGGACTTTTCTGAGTGAGGAAGATTGAACTTAATTAGCTTCTCAAGTTGGAATTCGGTATAAAAATGCATGGTTTGAGATATAATATATATAGAGTCAATTGCAAACAGTACCCCTATGTAATCACTAAATAGCAAAAAAACCCATGTGATAAATAAATTAGCAAAATCTCCCCTGTGAAATTTAGTCAAAGGCAGAAACCCTCCTGGTTGACTTTCGTGTGGCTCACTCGCTTGATGTGCGGCTGGTAGCTAACTTTTGGACGTGAAATGGTGAAATTGTCCCTCAAAATATATTCTTTTTAATTTGATTGTTTAGAAATTAAAATATTATTAAAAAATTAATAAACAATTAAATTGAAAAATTATTAAAAATTTGGTAATCAAATTAAGTATATATTTTTTTAAATACAAAAAAAAGAAATACACATAGTAATGGAAATTAGGTTTTCTTTTGATGTAGGGATAATTTAAAATATATACATAAATTTTATCTGATAATAAAAATAGAAATAAAAGACCCCATTGTACTTTAGAATTAAGATATAACAAATATAAAATAATACAAGTATTTATAAAATATAAGAATTTATTAATTGCAAAATCTCGGAGGTATTTGTGCCTTTTATATAAAAAATAAAAAAATAGGTCGTGTGCTATTTAATGAATTTCATAGGGAGATTTTTGCTAGTTTATTTATTACGAGGTATTTCTTGCTATTTAGTAATTACACAGAGGTACTTTTTGAAATTTACTCTGTATAATATATACGCAATAATGCAATATTTAATTTGAGTTGCTTTCAAGAGGTAAGCTTCCGTCCTACTTCCGTCTTGACTAAAATGGGCATTTTACTTTTCAACACGTAATATTCGGAAAAACAATGGCATCGAGAGAGACTTCCAAGTCAACTGAAAAGATTTACAACTTGCAAAGACTTCCAATTTCAAAAAATTACATGGCCCGCGGCACTGCAGTCCAAGAGAAATAAATTTATTGCTTAATTATCACCAGGGGCAAAAACATATTTAGTTTGGATAAAGTTATGTTATAGTGCCCGAAAAGATTTACAACTTGCATGTTTTGTAATTTCTAAGATTTTATTTGAATCAGAGTCAAAAAATCAATTGTATTTAATCCGTCTTAGGATTAGTTAAAATAATCATGATGGCAGGCATTCAAGTTGCATTGGAAATGTCATGTCCATGAAAATGTTGACCAAAGATTTACAATAAGCCATAAAAATATTAGTAGTAAGAAGGACGAAATTTAATTAGGGAATTAAATGATACAACCTTCTAATTGGTACTATATAAAACTAAACCATAGTCCCAGCTACCGAACCTAACACGTAACGATACGAACGCAAGATTTGTACATGCCTTACTTATCGTATTTACACGCAGCAAAGGTGCAAACATAACCTAGCAACCTATTGCATGCTTAATATACCAGGAGGATTATACAGATGGTCCAGGGCCGGTCCTGGGAATTATGGGGCCCCAAGTAAATTTTGAGAAAATATCATCTTATTGATTCAAAATTATTTAGCTTCATTTAACTTTTTTTACCGCTGAACATGATAATTTATAAGTGAAAAACCTTTCATTCTCTTTTTCTTTGAGTTGCGCGATGCCACAGAGCTCAGCAAAAAAAAAAAAAAAACAATGGTTTTTCTCCTTTTTTTTTTCCGAAAATAAAGGGTTTTTAATTAACCTCCTTTTTAATTTCACATGTTGGGCATTCGAAAGGATTCCTTTTTTTTTTTTTTTGATGAATTATGAATTTCGTACCGAAAAGGACTATGTTTAAATGTATTTAACTTTTTTTTTATATATATTTATATACTAGTTTTTTTTTTTTTTTTTTTTTTTTTTTTAATTTGGGGACCCTTAGGATTGGGGACGCCAAAGCAATGGGTTGTGCTGCAAATAGTCAGGGCCGGCCCTGAGAGGGTCTATAGCAAACTACTAAAGATAGAGCAATACCTTGTTTGGAAGTACCTCTACATATTCGTCTTACATTTCTTGTGATTTGAAGTACGCCCTACGATAATCGAGCTGAAACATCTGCATACATGATACTGGTAGTCATACACTCATTCTTAATTCATATCTACGTGCCCTGTAAAGTATAAACCATGAATATTCTATAACATTTCCAGTAGAAACTAACATACTAATACAATCCCACACAAATCCGATCCCATAATATATAACATAACCATTTACAAAGATCTTGCTTCGGCCTCATGATCAACGTACAACAAAACACGACTAAATCATTAAAAGCAAACTTTAGAACTACAAGTATTTGACAATAAACGAAAAGTAAATAAGTTTGCTGTGTATATATTACAAATTACTAGCTAGGAATTGAAAATAGATAAAAGACGAAAGATAATTGTGATTCTTGTGCTCAGTAAGCAGAGGACGACCATCTTCCGGTAAATACGCAGTTATTGAATCATCCAAATGCATAATTCCTGAGATTGAAGAGAAGTCGTAAGACTCAGCAACACCATGATCATCAATTGAAGGTACATATTCATTAGTGATGCCTTCCTTTTGTACGTAAACTTCTTTCACCATTTGAATTCCTTCCAACTCCATAGCAACTTCCCTCATAGTCGCCTTCTCTTTCCATTCAAA